GATCCACTCTGAGAAGGTGCTATTTAAGAGACTGAGCTGAATACAGCACCTCAGACTGAGGAAGTCCTCAGGATGAGAGACGAAACGTTTCTATATTTTTTTGCTTTGTTTTGTTTTTTTTGAATGTCCAGAGGACCAGATTGAACTTTTTTGGATAGAGCGTTGATACTTCGTGCTTTTTCACCTGTCGTGATAATCGAGGGACTTCTGTATCTTTTTAATATTTTAAAAGGACTCTTGTAAAAGCTTGATTATCTTTACACTAATATGAGCTTACCATCGTGCACCTGCATGGACTGAAACGTGCACGGACTGGAGCGTGCACGGACTGAAACGTGCACGGACTGGAGCGTGGACGGACTGGAGCGTGGACGGACTGGAGCGTGCACGGACTGGAGCGTGCACGGACTGGAGCGTGCACGGACTGGAGCGTGCACGGACTGGAGCGTGCATCTGTTAGGGCTGTGGAGAAACAGTGGTGCCGGCAGCGTGTGAAGGTGATGTTCGAGCGCAGACACGCGTCCGTCAGCGGCGGCAGCAGGAAGTGCTGAAGATGGAGGACGTCACATTTTAATCAACACTTTCATCTGCAGCATCTGTCCTCCCGCTGCTGCACACAGGCCGAGACCTTGAGAACCGTTTGATGGACTCATTCTTTATTTCAGTCGGATGTGTTCTTGTCTCGTGTGTGCACGTTTTTCTGTGTGTGCACATTACATCAAGGAAGATGAATGTGATGCATCATGTCTGTTCAAACAGGACCACCGCTGCTCGGGTTGTTGGGTTTTTATTAGAGAAATGAGTCTGCACGTTTACATTTTGAAGATGATTTGAGGCGCGGGGGGGGGTTGGAAGAAAGACATTTCCATGAAGTGACAAAGATAAAATTTGGACAAACGAGGAAGCTACAGAGTCCAGCGTTCTAAGGCCCAGTTTACTGAGTGAAAGTTCAGCTGTCCATGTACACAGCTCTCTTTCTCTCTGAGCATGAAGGTCCAGCTCTCAGACTGGCACAATGTGAAGGAACTCAAGGGACTGGGACTGAACAGCTGTGGAGCCTTAAGAAAACCACTAACCAGTGAGGCTAAGTGGAAAAAAAGGCTTCAGTTTGCTAGAGAGCATAAAGATTGGACTGTGGAGCAATGGAAGAAGGTCATGTGGTCTGATGAGTCCAGGTTGACCCTGTTCCAGAGTGATGGTGCATCAGGGTCAGAAGAGAGGCAGGAGAAGTGATGCACCATCAGGACCAGTGTCTCATCATCAATGAAAGATCTTGGTGAAACATTAATGCAACACTGGATGAAACAGATCTTGTGACGTTGAAGAAGTTCATTGAATCAATGACACAGAGAACGATGTGATCAAAGATAAAGGAGGTCCAATCAAATATTAGTGTGTGACCTCCAAAAAAGTTCAATCTGGTCCTCTCATCCTGAGGACTTCCTCAGTCTGAGGAGCTGTATTCAGCTCAGTCTCTTAAACAGCACCTTCTCAGAGTGGATCAACCAGTTTGCTGCTGACAACCAGAA